CTTTAAGGCTCTCCATAGTTGTTCCTTAATTGTAAATAAAATGGTTTAATTATTCCCGAACTTCAACTAGACACTTATATCAAAAAGGAACTTCTCATCTTGTTCAGTTAATTTAACAAATGGGAAGTATTCATATTCTATTGTCTTATGATCTGGTTTAACAAGAATTTTAATTTACTCGTCAAATTAATTCTTCACTACTTGGTTCATTTTATCAGGATTTTGAATGGGTTGAATTGATTCTCCTTCCATCACGTTTTGTATCAATTGATCCAAACTATTGTTATGCAAATTGTATTGTAACAATTTATTCCTAAATTCACAAATTATTTGTATGTCTGATTTCAAATTTTGTTTAACTAAATGATGCTATTCTTATCTAACCATAAACATACCTTAGAAAGATCCTTGATCAAATCAATCACCTGATTAATCAACTATAATTAGGTGTTAATACATTGATTAACTATCCATTTAAAAAGTATACAACCGATTGTGGGATTCTTGTCACATAATTCATTCAATCCGACCAACCCACATTAGATTTTCGATATCAAATTTCGAATCGCACTCTATTGAACATCCAAACTGCAACTTTGTAATTTCTCTATAATTTTATTGATCTAATGGAAACTCATACCTTCTCTTTTTTGAATTTAAAATTATAAAAATAAACAAATATATTTAATTAAGAATAATGATATCACACCCTTAGTAGATGAATTGGATGTCATAGGTTTCCATGAATTTTAGACATACTAACAAGACTTATTGTCTAATCTAACCAATAATGGATATTTATAAACGATTGAATTAATTTAGATACTGTTTATAATTGAAACTATTACGGATTCTAATCATTTACAATATTAAAGAACTATAATGACTATAAAAGTGTGAATAACATAAAATAAATTGAATCCATACTCATTTATTTATTTACATAACTTTTTTATCATTTAGAACTTGAATGTTTATAAATTGTATTGAATAAGTTTGGGAATATTAGTATTATATATTCTCTATAACACCTATTTATAATAATTGAATACATTAATAAACAAATAAATACACTATTAATAATATATGAATAATCAAAGTCCTTACATCAATTGACCCAAAGATTATTTTTATGAACTTGCTTATTCATCTAACTCATTTCCAAATACTAGTTTTTTGATCATTTAATTTTAAGACTATTTAAGAATTTCAAAAATCTTAAACTCATGTAACACCTTCTGTATTAATATCATGTTGTTATCTACTTAGCTGTTAGATTATTGCTCGTCTTTAATCTTTAAACCTTATTTTAATATTTTCTAATAATAATTATTATTGCTTTGAATATTCTCTTTGGCATAGAATTCTTCTTTGATCACTTGATGGTGTTTTGCCAATTATTTAATAAGAATTTAATTGTTAATCTCATTGATTAGAGGAACTAATAACAGTCTATTGTTTAACTTCTAGAAGGAATACGATATGGCATAATCAGAGAATGCTATCAATCCCAAAGACTTATTGATTTTTAAAAGGTGTTCTACCAATTACTTCGATTACTCTTGTAATTTCTTCAGATTTTGACCCTAATAATATGATTGAAATTAGTTCATTTTATTCTTATACTCTTCCCTGCATTAATTTTCTAATCTCTTTTGAAATTTCTCATCCATATATTCTCTTTAACATGCTTACACCAAGTTTTTGATCAATTCTTAAGCATTGGCTGGTGTATTGTAATTGTATGTTTGAGGCTTTGCCTTGAATTATTCTACGATGATAGTGGATATGTGAAGCTATTATTCTTTGAAAATGAGTAATTATATTTGCTCAAGTAGATTATGAATAAACATTTCCTCATCCTCAATTTTGATTGTCAACATCAGAATTTTAGATAATAGAAGGAGGCATTCGAATTTTCTTAAGAAGAGAATAGTTTACACTTCGAAGGCCAAGAATTATTCCGTCATGACTTAATACAATTCATTCTTCTATTATTGAGTCCCCTCTTTTTTCATTTTCAGTTGATCCGCAGTCAAAGTGATTTCATCTAATTTCAAGACTTGAGAGATGGTATTCAAGAATCCCTTATTCTCATAGTATTCATCTGCAATCTATTGTATTTTATCCAATTTTGAATTAATTCTCTGCCCTTTTTCCATTTATAATTCCATCTCCTTTGTGAGTTTACTTTGCATCTTTTATAAGAAAGCATTAAACAAATGTGCTCTAAATTTGTATGTAACTCCACCCAAAAGAAAAATTAAGAACAACAAAGTCTTTTTGGGGTGATTTCGATAAATTGAGAGCAACATTCTTTTTTAAATTAAATTATTCAATAAATATATTAAAATATTTTATGAATGATATAATTATTTGCTGAATATAATTGATAAAATAAATGAATTATTAAAAAATAAATGTTTTACGCAGATTCAATCTAGGAAGATAAAATTAAATCCTACCTTCGCCAAATTGAGCAAGAACAAGAGAGGAAGGATAGAATCAAAAAACTAGCTGAATCTCTAATGAACAAAACTAAATTGAAATTGAAGTATTCAATCCTACCAATATTAGGCTGACCACTAAGGAATCAAAGAGGGAAGAACAATTTAATAAGAAATTAGAAGATATGAAACACCTCAGTACCTTTGTGGATGCAAGACCATCCATTAATCGATTAAATTTGCTAAACGATAAAAATCTCTTATTGAAACTCTAAGTCATAAAGAAGACTCAAAAATACCAAGAGAGCAATAAAAATACTGCAAATAAAACTGAAAACCCAAAACAAGAAATGCAGTCACTAAATTCTCAACCACTAATTTTGGATGATGAATTCAAATTATAATTTTTGGCTACTTAGAATTATGAGCCTATCAAAAGAAAGTAGCTATAAATGCCAAGAAGATCGCAGCCAGAATCTCCAAAAGACACTGAACCTGTGATAAAAGGAGAAGAATTATTAAACTTTGATGTCTCTCCTAAAAATGATACAAATCTATTCTATCGTTCAGTATTTAAAACGAGTCCTTCTCCAGAAAGAAAATAGCTTATACAACAGTTCGAAGAGGAAACAAAGAAGGCTCGATAATTTCTTTAATAACATGGATTGATTGAGAAGTAAGGCTCAAAGAATCACAAGCGATCTCCATTGGGCAAAGTACCGATTTAACAATACTATTAAAACTTTCAAAAGTAATGTCAATCATTAGTAAAGGATGTGGCTTTGGAATCTAGGAGAAGAAGTGTCATGAGTCAAATGAATGAGAGTGAAGGATGCTCTTCAAAGAAGGACTTTGTTAGAGATGCAATCATTCACATTAATCAGAATGCAATTGTGTGCAGATCGTCAATGAAGTTAAACAAGTCATAGACGAATTCCTCATCATCTCCGAGATAAAAGGCGAAGATTTTTAATCAAAAGGACAAATAAGGGTCATAGACTCAAAGAGTTCTAAGAAAGACTAGAAGTATATTTGATTCAGAATAGAACAGCCCTATAAAATCAAGATTGCAAACTCAATTTGAATCATTCACTTAGGCGGTCAATAAAACTTAGAAGGCATTCAATAGGATAAATAGGGGGAACGAGAAGATTATTAGAAGGATGTCGACAGCTGTTAGTAGTATTCATAAAAAGTATAGCAAGGAAGTTGTTTAAGTTTGACGAATAATTATATTTATAATTTCTCATTTAATATGATATTAATTTAATTTAAGAAATGGGATGCGGTGCTTCCAAATAGTAGTAGGAGAGATTGAAGAGTTATGTAAATTGTATCAGTGAGTTTAGAAATAAAAATTGGAAGAGCTGGGATAAATAAATGATTAGTTAGCCAAATAGATAGCAGAGTTGAGGGATGTCAAAAACAAGAGAAAACCTATATATATCATCAAGGATTAGGAGGTATAAGGAATTATTAATGATTTCGAGAGGTGGAAGAATTAACAAATTATAAAGAAGAACTTGAAAGGAAGTTTTAGTTGATTGAAAAAGAAATTTTAAAGGTCAATAAGCAACTGTAAATTTAAGCAAAGGCGGAACCAAAGAAGAAAAGGAGAACTACTAAACCTATCGATATTGATGACATAGCAGACGAAGAGGAATGGAAAAAGGTTTGTTAATTTATATCTAAAATAGAATTTGATGAATGATGATGAGATCACTATCAAACCTTTTGATGATGCTCAACTTGAAATAGAGTCAGATAATATTGGCAAGAAGGACATCAATAAAAGCTCTTAAAGTAAATTTAAAAACTTAAGTAGGCGATATTTTGATGATGGATTCCCAATAAAATATCAAGAAGCAAATAGAGAATGCTGAAAAAAACGAAGAAATCAATAATTTAGAATAATAATTGTAGTTTGACAGCAAAAAAATTATTATATAAAATGACTAAAATAATTGTGATGAATAATCTAAAGGTTAATAATAACAAGATTTATATAAAATCAAAGTTAATATCTAAGAAGCCTTAGGAGAAGACTTACAAGCGTATAATGATGAAATTAAAAACAAGCTATTCTCACAAGACTTAAGTAATCAACCACAATAATAAACTTTGAAAAACAGTGAAATTGAAATTTGTTTTAATGAGTAATCCTTAGAATAAATTGCTTAAAGTCTTGAAAAAAACATTACTACAGTCCCAAAAAAAGGTAAATCAAGTTAACCACAACCTTCAAATTAGGTGTAAAATTAATAATAATAGAAAGCAGAAAAATAACTATTTTTCTCTAAGTAACAATCTTCTGGCAACAATCAAAAAAGGAATTCAAGATAAAAATACCAACTATGAATTTTTAATGTTTTAATATTTATCATAATTATTATAAATTAACCCAATTAATAAATACATTTTGTAATCTAATACCCAATGTAATTTTTTCTAATATATATTAAATTCGCATTAAATAACAATCTTAAAAGTGATATTAATTTAAATCCTATTTTAATCTAATTATATAAACTTTTTCTTTATTTTCATTTTAAAATGATAATTTTACAACCTTTCTCAAACTACTTATTTGTATTTAATATCTATCCGCTTGAGTAAAGGCCTAATTTCATTTAACAAACTAGTCAGGACCTAATACAATCAATACGATCATTCAAGAATCGCCTGTACTATAAATAGATTTCTTATAAGAGGTCTAAGTAAGTCACCTTGATATATTAGAAGAGGAGTATTCAAGCCTAAAATATAGGCAATTTCTTTTTCTATAGTACTTTTACATCAACTTATAGAGAAAAAAGTCTTAAAATTAATAAATTTTCGGCGAATTCAAAAGTTTAATTGCAAGCCTTGGGAGGAGACTCTCAAATAGTTTTCGGGAGACAGAAATGACAATTAATATGATGTAAGATTATTCAAATACGAATTGAAGAAAAAGAAATCAGGAGAAGAATAGTATGATTTGAGCGATGTTATAAAGTTATAGATTTCTTTTCTTTTGAAGATATTCCAAATCTCATCGAAGTAGGATGTTATTCAAATTCACCCTCAAGAATTTTATCTGTAAAAAACATCAACTTTTAAATTTGTAATGTTTACTAAACAATATTTTATACTATGTTTTCATTTACAGAGTTTCCTTTTGTATATATAATGAATATTATATGGACATTTGACAAAATAGAAAAAATCTTTGACTATTAAGATAAAAATAGAACATTGTTAATACATACATAAAATCAATTAATATGATTTATATTATCTTATTGAACTTTGACCAATAATTTATAAACCGATTAATCTAAACAGATCTTGATTATATTTAATTTATGATTTAATAAACACAAGCTCATCTTCCAAAGGAGTGGATCGAATTCTTACAACAGATTCAAAACCTCGACCCAATTGATGTAGAAACAGTAACTTAATATGTAAAAGTGCGTGTCAACCACTTTCCAACCGATTAACAAATGGCAGAGTACTATGAAGAAGTTTTTTCAAAGTAACAAATAATCAATACTATATTTAGATCTACAAGTGATGTAAACAGAAAAAAGTGGCATTAATAAGATAAAAATCTACTCATCTGGTGTATGGCGAAGCACATGATGTCATAAAATCGACAGGAACTTATCCCCGTAAATTCTTATGTATATTATATAAGAATGATGATGATTGGGAGTACGTATCAAGAGTTCTTTGTGTAGATAAAAATCTAGTGGAGTTGAAATGGATATCACTTCTTCATTCTAATTTAAAGATCTCTCCTTGGTCAAAGGATGAAGATCAAATTCTGATTAACATTGCCAAGTATCCCTTTTTAATTTATAATCAAGTGATCATTATTATAAAAATAATTGGACCGAGTTAACAATCAAATTCAATTCTATATCTTCAACCCAGAGATATCCTAAGTAAATACGGGAAAGGTGGAACAATGTGTTGAATCCCAACATCTCTCGGTCCACTTGGAGCAAAGAAGAAAAAATCAAATTACTATAATTGATTTTGAAATATGGCAAAAAATGGTCTAAAATCTAAGATGAATTAAATGGAAGGAGCGAAAATTAGATCAAAAATTAGTATAATGGAATAATAAGAAATTTAAAAAGATTTAATGTAAACATTGAATCTAATCAGTAGGTTTAAGAAAGTGAAGAAAGATTGTTGATCAAAGCAATAATCGAAAATCCAGATCAAAAGTTAAGTTTGACTGTTACCTAATTCATGTCGGACTTCTTGGCTAAGAAAGAAGCTTCAAAGAGTGTAGAATCCCCATAACTCCATTAACTTACTGAGTCATAAATATAAAAGAAAATCTGTGCCGACTCTGTCCCTCAAGAATCCGGTATTAGTGCCACAAGTACTATTAATATTTATATTAGACATCTTATTACAAGAGAAATTGAATTAATGTAAAGAAATGCAACAATAAATGAAGTAGACGTCTATGTAATAAAATGCATACTTCTCCTCTCCTCAACAATAGCAATATTCATAAGTGCCTATGTAGTCCAGCTAGTGTTTTTATAATAATAATTACCCAAATTATTATACAAATTATTAATAATAAAATTAATAATACTTGCCCTACCCCAATTATAATTAGATATAATAGTAAATGCCTTATCAATAATATCACTATGGCTATTATTGACGACACAAAAATTGAAGATAATATTGATAAATATCAAATTATATCTTATTATTATTATATTTGTTAATAATTTGCTTGCAACTTGCGATCAGTATTTGTACATTATTTAAAAAATTATAGTAAGCTTAAAATAATTATTAATTTTTCATCTAACAAGATTCTATTCATCAAATGATCTTTTTGTAAATCGAAAATTTCTCAGACAGCCAATCCCTTACAAAGTTAAAAACTTTAATCTTTAAATTACTATAAGCAACCAAATTGGATTTGCTTTGAATCATAAAAGATAGTGGAAGCATGCTTTGAGAGAAGGAATAATCTAATTTTTCACTTAATAAATATTTCAAACTATAATTATTGGAAAAGAATTTCTATTATAATATTATATTATATATATGAATTAGTGAAAATTATAAATTATTAAAAATTTTAATTTAATTAAATTATAAACGATTGATATTAAAACGATATTCATGAAGCACCGAAGTTATTAAGCAAATATTGAATAATATTATGAATCAAAAATGTTTACCTGAATAAAATTCTACATTTTTTTATTAAATTAATAAAGTAATACACATAAAATACAAGTCATTTAATATTATTATTGAAGTAGCTGAGTAGGTCTTAGATAATTTTCAAAGCAAATGGTCTGATTCTGTTTAAATTTAACTACAACTAATCTGCCTTAATATTTGCTATTTGAGCAATTATTTTAGCATTTATACCACCTTATTTCAAATAAATAATATCAGTGCCAATTTTTACTGAAATTGCATTCTGAAGTGGTTGAGGTAACTTATTAATGAGGGGTGAAATCTATTAATGCAGAATGTGGCAAACTTTAGTAGCTTTGGAGTTTAATTTGAGTTTTTAGCATAAAGTAGATATCAAAGAGGAATGTTAGCTTTAAATACATTTTGAAAGGTATTCTACTTTAGCATCAGCCTTAGGCAAAGGGTAATTGAGCTCCCTCATAGCACAATGAACTATAGCCTAGGCATGGAATGAAGTGTTTGGTAGAGTTAAATTACTTAGAATTGCAATTGCTTTTTTTTCAATTGCATCATCAAGATTCATCTTGAACACCAAGTGTGAAACTTCCTCTAATAAGTCAGAAGATCTCTTTGGAGTAGAGCATCCATCACTAAATTTTGGTACTGGAGGTCTATTGATCATATTATTATTTAATTATTGATTTCAATCAACTTCTCACAAATCAGTTTAATATCAATGAGTACATGAAAAAACTCACTAAGTTTATTTATATAATGTTAAAAAATTTTATAGAATACAAACCAAACCACACTCCCTTATTCTAATCATTAAGAATTACTAAGTCCCATAAGTATATGGCGCCATGTTTGTAAATTTATGAAATTGATTCTAATAATCCTGACCTTGAAATTTTAATTTCATTGATTCTAATGCTAAAAATTAAAATGAATACCCAGAGATGTTAGTAGAAATAATAAGAAAATAGGTGATTTTCAATATAAATGTCTAATTCATTTAATCCGAATAGATTAATACCAAGAATGAACGATTAGTTATTGTATTTCAATATTAGAATTAAGAATCCCAATATGATTCTCTCCCTATATTATTCGTAGTGAAAGTATTTCTTCTTTTAAAGAGTAACTCCTCGATCATTTGCCTATTAATATTATATATTAATATTATATAGTATTATAATATGGTAATACTTCTTCTTTTGTTATTATGACAGTTCCACTTATTTAACTCCAGTTACTCATTATTTTTGATGATTATGAACATTAATGTTTAACTATAAAAAATTCTCTAATTGATATTAATTGACAACAAGAACTTGCTTCAGTATTTTTATAAAAATTATATATAAATTATTTCTTTCAAATTCTTAAAGCCTCGTCTTTAGACCTTACTATCACTAGAAAATATTCCTTTACTACAATTCTTCTAATATGTTGATGATTCCTGCTTCTTAGAAGGAGTTAGAGACAGTTAAGCAATTCTTCATTTTTCTCGGGTAATCAAAATTTGAATTGATTAAAATGAATTGGTTGGTCGTCTAACTTTTCTAAAATAGTGAATAATTCAATTTAATTTAAAATATTGTCATTGTTGTAATATGTTAATTAAATCAGCTATCTGTCATTATAAAAATAAAAGCCATTACTATTTTAGAATATTTAATTATCATATTCTAATTGACTTTTACATCTATTAACTATTGTAATTGTATTATTGAGTCTGCAGAGAATTAGTACAAAATAATTATTATATCAAACAATAATAAAATATATAAATATAATTGAATGAACGAATTTTAGGCTTTTATCATTAGTTTGGGAGAGAGGTTAAATACTCCCATACCAGATGAATATAGAAGATAATTTAAGATAAGAGGGGAGTTCACTTATCCAACTAATAAAAAGTTTGATCAAATCTGTAAGAGGTTTAGAATATAGCTTATCTGTAGTTTTTTAGAAGATGAAAAATTAAGATGCAAAAGAAAGTGGGACAACTCATTTAAATTGTTTATGGTTTGGTTTCTGGTTAAATACTTTGAGAAAAAAAACCTACTTATTATTCATCCGGTATCTTGAGAAAATACATCATAGGATGAGAATGACTGGGTAAATTTTGAAAACATCCTTAAAATTGACAAGCATTCATTGAAGCAACGATGGATAACCCTCATAAATCCATAAATGAAATCAATTAATTGGCTTTAAGAGGAGGATGATTTCATTACAACCCAAATGAAGTACTCTAATCCATTCAAACTTAGTTAAAAGCATAAACACATATGGACTTAGATAGCAGTTTCATTATATGAAAGAAATCTTCAAGGAAACATTCGTACTCCTAAATAAATTAGAGAAAGATGGATGAACTACCTTAATCCAGAATTGAATAAGTATAATTCTCATTATATACATTTAGAGATCAATGGATGCTCAAGGAGGATTTGATTATCCTCAATAACGTTGTCAAAAATGGAAAGAAATGGTCCTAAATTTCACAATAGTTAAATGGAAGAACAGAAAACTAAGTAAAAAATCGGTATTTCATATACTTATGTCAAGTTACAAATCTTTAATTCATAAAATCTGCAAGGACGATGAATGTGATGAAATTGATATGGTTAAGCAATATATAAGGAAAAAGTATTTTAAATGAGTAAATTTAGTTAAGCTCATGTTGATTCCAATAAATAAGGAATTATAGGAAAAAGAGGTAGGCATAAAAAAGGATTAAGAAATAAAGAATAAGGTGTGGAATAAAGAAAGTAACGAAATCTTCCAAAAATAATTAAACAGGAAGAATAAATATCGCACTAATCTTTTGTATAACAAGCTTAACCAATTATTTAATAAACACAATAATAATAAGCTTAGCAATAATAACAATAATAATAGCAGACTTAATAATAATAATTATAATAATTATAATTTCATCAATAAATGCAATTGCAATAATTACAACAATAAATGAATTTTAATAATGAAGAGATGAAGATCGCCTTAAATTTACAATCAAATTTTCTTTAAGAAGATATCAAAAATACAACACCTTTGATGATGCTATAATGTTTAACTTCTCCTGGATATCAATTTCTTGAGAATCAATTCCTAAAACAATTATCCCCAGGTATGGTTGAGGAAGGAGAATGCCATTAAAATTCTTCCTTGCAATTACCAAAATTAAATAATATGTATAAAATGAGTTCTACATCACCTTTTCTATTACCTTCAATGTTACAATCTCCATTTTGGAATAACGAATAATAGTATATTTAGTAGAATGATGAATAAATGCCTCCTCCTCAACCATCTTAGACATTTTCCTAGTAGATATCTACTACACCTTTTTTGAATTTAAGTTATTTAAGATAACCTTAGCACAATGGCTTTACAAGCAAGAAAGAGTTAGATTTATTATAAGAGAATCCAATTTAATAATTTAACAAAAGAAGAAATTTTAATTAGTAGTGATATGACAATAATATTAATAATAGTTTATTCATTTTTTACATTTATTGTAACTTTTTGAAGTACCAATTTGATTTAAATGATCAATTGCATTATTATCATCATTTTTGTCAATTAATATAATATTCTCTTGAGAAGGGAGTTAAATAATTAATTTAAATGAGAATTTAAAGATTTTTCTATTTAGTAAATTCATCTTAAGATTAAGTTCTAAAAGTATACAATCATTCGAAATTATACTATTTTAACTATCTTAAATTCTAATTATTTGCTTAAATATGGATCTCGGATAAAACTTACTAAAATTTAAAGTCTAATTATGTACCTGTTTATCAGAATATAAAATAAAAAGATGAAATAATGATCTGAATAAATAAAGAGAAATGAAAAAACAATATTATTATAATTTAAGCTGAACCCTATCTGGAATTACTTCTCTTTAGTCTCCAATTTTTTTAAATTAATTGTTTTCCACGTAAGCTGAGATAAAAATATAATCTCTTGAACTTATAAGAATGAAAATCCTCAATATATTTAATTATGTAGTCAATATTATAAATCAATTTTTAATACACTAAAAGTCAATTATTATAATTTTTCATTTATTTTCTCTCCAACTTATTTGCTTTTTTTCTAGAAATTGAATAGCGGATATGCATTCATAAGACATGTTTGGATATCTTTAAGCATTTTTGTTTTATTCAATAATATCAAATTTTTACAGTTAATCTATAACTTTGCCTATACATGTCAAACTTCGAAATATCCGCGAATAAATATGAGAATATAATTAAATTTTTGTTAATGTTATCATAATAAATTGATTTAAAAATAATCATCGTTTAAAATATTTCATTTTTTTAGAAGCAAATTTAAGTAATGTAAGAAATTTAAATACATATTATAAATTGAAGTCTAAAAATTTAAGAAATTAAATTAATGAACTCAATTTAGTAATACTCAAAGTGTGAAAACCTTGGATAAGGAACGTATGGGAGGGTTTATAAGGGAGTAAATCGAAGAACTTAAGAAGTTGTCGCAATCAAAGAGATAATTCATTCTGAAGAAGAAAAAAAGGAGGGAATACAATCAACTACATTAAGAGAAATGTCGGTATTGCTATAGTTCAGGAACCATCCCCATATTGTTGAGTAATACTTATTTAATAGATAAGATTGAAGGAAGTGATTTTAGATGAGACTGATTATAAGCAATATCTGATAATGGAGTTTATTGATACAGATCTTAGGAAAATGATTGATCAAGGTCAAATCACCGAGCACCTCGCAAAAAGGCTACTCCTTCATATTTTAAGAGGCCTTTATGCTTTACATAGTTAACTTATATTTCATAGAGATTTAAAACCTGCTAATATTTTAGTTCAAAATGGAGTGGCTAAATTGGGAGATTTCGGATTAGCCAAGCCAATAGGTTATCCAATAAATAGAACTCATACAAAGGAAGTACAAACACTATGGTATAGAGCTCCTGAATTGCTTTTGGGTCACTTTAAGTATTCTCCAGCATTGGATATATTTTCATTAGGATGCATCTTCTATGAAATGTTAGTTGGAGAAGCATTGTTTAAAGGGAATAGTGAAATTGATTAACTCTTCAAAATCTTTTAATTTATGGGTACTCCTCTGGAATGGGAAGGCTTTAAATCTATGCCATATTATTCTGCTCGATTTCCATAATTTCATGCATAGGCAGAATAACACTTATCCGGTTTCAATATTAGAAGGGAGGCTAAAGATTTATTGTTAAGAATGCTTTAAATTGATAGTACCAAGCGAATTACTGCCAGGGAAGCAATAGATGATATATATTTTTCTATTATTTGATATATATATAGTATTTGAATTAAATCAATTAAAAATAAATAAGTAATTATACGCTAGGACTACTTACATGTGAGATTAAATAGTGTAAACTTCATTCCTAGAGATTGCAGCTTTGATAGATGTTTATAGAAGTCTATATCTCATTAGTTCAATTATCAAAAAAATAACTACCCATAATGTTTACATCGAAAAAATAATTTAGTTATTGGTTAAAGTTAAAGTTATTATTGACTTCATAAAAAAGATAAGGGATTGCATTGAATGATCGAGAAGTATGGATTAGAAAGTCATTTGAAAACGAGGGAATAAATATCAAATCATTTCTATGAATTATATGATAAAAATTGAAATGTAAATATGAATAGATAAACATTTACTTTAGGAGAATAATACACTATTTAGAGAAACAATTAATAGAATTTTATAAATTTCAAAGGTGATCTGAAAATCTATTTCTTCATTTTTGAATTTAATAATAAAAAATCGAGTTTAAGTTGTTCTCTTTTTTTTCTACGAAGGTTTCCTTTTTCTTCATACTTGTGATTCTGTATCAGAATTCATGTATTTTTACATTAATTATTACCCTAATGTGAGATTAAAGTGTAATAATATTTATTTAGGTGCAAAATGTCAAAAATTATAGTAATGATAAGATCAGAACTAGGAATGAACAGAGTTTCTATTCTCTCTAATTAATCATTTTAAGAATTTGTAAACATGGTTGGTTAAATTATCAATATACCTCCTGAAGCATTGATATTAAGTTTAGAGGAAGTGAGTATTACTTAAAAAGTATTTCCAAATGTGTAAATTAAAATGATCCACAATTTTCAGTAATTAATAAAGAGATATTATAAGGAATGGGGTTTTCATTCAAGTCAATGTAGACTATAACAAATTTTAATAAAAGCCATAATAGAATTAAGCTCCAGAGCAACCAAAAGTGTATACGGCAAATGGAGAATTAGTCAATGCTTAATAGATATAAGAAGTTGATCATAAGATTCATGAAAATAAAGACCAATATTGAATTCATATCATAATTCTAGTGCATTAAGTTAAATTTGCTAGCATGGCCCTTAAGCGAAATGCATTAATTGTCTATTTTCAATATCAATAAAGTAGAATAATAGGAGAAAACAGAAGTTAAGAAATGCAGACATGAAGAAGTTGGACGTTGTTTAAATTGCGCTCCTTATGAATAAGACAAGAAGAATACAAACAGAGTCAATAAAATCCTATGCCAACATGGACCTAATTGAAATGTCCTCAATGTATTGATGAGGGATAAATAAAAGCAAAACACGTTTCATTTGATTAATTTTTGCATGATATAAAATCCAAGTGTAGTGGATAGCATCCATAAAATGGAAGATGCAATAGTTGTCTTCCCTCATCTATGGTAATCATTTGATATCGATCGTAGATATCATATCAACTTAAGCCAGATTGCAATAAGCATGCTCCATATCCAAAGGCTATGTGTAATAATTGTCTTCCACCATCAATCTTACTGAAAAGATAAGAGTACAGACACGTAGATTATGTGGAATTCTTGAACTTTCCTGAGATGTCGAATTTTGTGTAATATTGGACAAGTTAAGATAAAACAAAATAGGGAATGGGATTCTTATATGGATATTATGCTGAAGACCCTATTTATCAGAAAGGTGTTAGAGCCATTGTTGAAGCCATTTATGAACCTCCTCAAAAAGGAACATTTGGTCATGTTGATTTGTTATAAGATCCTGATTAAAGTCATGCTGATGAAATAGCAGCTAATTTGGGAATGGAAAGATCGGGTGGTAATATAGAATGTGAATCAGGATTGTTTTTTATCAAGTGAATAATTGAGATAGGCTGCACAATACTAATAAATTTATTCTATTAAACACCCAGAAGGTTGTTTAGTAAGCAAATTCTTAACTGTTGTGCTAAGAAGTAAGATTATTAACAAGACCATCTTTTGTGTACAATGGAAAGGCAGTCAAAGAGTTTGAGCCAGACTTTTTAATAGTGAATGTAATAATAAAGTGAATATTTAAAGGTTGCTCATGGATACAATCCGAATTCAAGGTATAGCATACTAAAGTTGTATGATTTCCCCGTTGAGAATAGATCTGCAGCTGTTAAGTAGTAGGATTTAAAGAACTTCTTTCAAAAACACGAAAAGAAACCCAGTTATCACAGATTTGCAGATTTCCATTTGTTGTTATATTTGAGCAATTTAATTGACATACAAGTAAATATTTTATTGAAATAAAATAGAGTGTTGCTAATATAGTCTAGTTTGTAGCCAGCGAATGTGAAATAGGGAATTAATTACTTAATGTTGTGAAAATGTATGCAACAAATTTTATTGATATTAGAAAAATTAAAATATTTTTAATAAATGGCTAAGTTTACAAACAAACCTAAGGGTCGTACAAGCAAGAGATTGGCATTGAATAAGAAATACAAAATAGAGAAGAAGGTTAAATAGCATCACAAAAAGCTCAAAAAGGAAGCCAGAAAGATGAGCGCCTTGGGATAAATAAAGAAAAGTATTTTCAATCTTAATAGTATTGTAGCATCGTCCAAGGAAATAGGGATCCCCAATATGTATCCATTTAAGAAGAATGTTATTGAAACCTTAAAAAGAAAGAAGGATTAAGAGGAGCAGGAGAAAAAAATATAAAAATTATAATAAAAAGAGGAAATCGATCTCAATTTGGCAGAAGTCAAATCAAATTTATATGAGACAAAGGCTCAGGTGGTTGAAGAAGAATAAGTGCAATAAGAGAATTTGACTTAATTAACCAAAGAGCATAAGAAATATATTACCTAAGTGAAAAAAGTAGCAGAAGTAATTTAATATTTTAAATTAAGGCTGCAGATATATTGTTAATAATCTTGGATGCCAGAGATCCATTGGCATGTAGATGTAAACACTTGGAGAGAGAAATCCTCGGTATGCCAGGAGATAAAAAGATTATATTGGTTTTGAACAAAATCGATTTAGTTCCTCCAGGTAATGCAGATGCATGGTTGGCTTGTTTAAGAAGAGAATTTGCAACTGTTCTCTTCAAAGCCAACACCTAATAATAATAATCCAACTTATCATCAGCCTCCATTTACAAGAAAACCTTATCTCAAAGACAGGATTTGGCTGATGATTTGACTTCATCATCCAAAGCCATAGGAGCTGACAAGTTATTGGAATTAATTAAAAACTACTCAAAAAATGATGGAGTTAAGAGTAGTGTGACTGTTGGTGTTATTGGATATCCCAATGTTGGAAAGAGTTCAGTCATTAACAGTCTCAAGAGAAGTAAGGCTTGTGCAGTTTCTTCTACTCCAGGATTCACCAAGGGTCTTTAGGAAGTTGTAATTGACAGTCAAGTGAAGATTATTGATTGTCCAGGAGTGGTTTTTGATTCTGAGAACAAGGAAAGTACTTTATTAAGGAATATCATTAAAGTATTATCTATTTGTATTATGCAAAGATTGAACAAATTGAGGATCCAAGAGAACCAATTGGAGAGATCTTGAAAAAGGTTTCTAAAAATGAGTTACTCTTACTGTACAAAATTCAGACATTCAATAATGTGAATGAGTTTTTGTGTTAAGTAGCTTTGGCTAGAGGGAAGTTGTAGAAAGGGGGCATTCCAGATTTAGAATGTGCAGCTAGAATTGTGTTACAGGATTGGAACTAGGGAAAGATTAAATATTTTACTGTTCCTCCTAATTAAATTGAATAAGAATGACTTATTTATTTGTTTGTTTCATATAAATATTTAACAAAGTTTTCATCTATATGGGATCTATCTGTATAAATCAATCATCTAATCCTTATGAAGATCTTCATTACCCTATAATTAAAAAAATCTAAAAATTCGCTCCAGACAGATAAAATGCTTTAGAAAAACCATTGATTCATTCTGAACTAACTGAGGATGCTCAAGAATTAACATAATTGGAAGGCATTCTTGAAGATCTCGAGGTTGACAAAAAGGTCAGCGAAGATAAAATTAAAAATGATGACACCACCATTCTAAATGAGTAGGTAATATAAAACATAGCTGTGTATGAGGCGATCCAAAGACTAAATGAGATTGTAACTCAAATTTAATTTTAAGTAGAGTTACAAAGAAAATGTTCAGTAATTTAGAAAATCAATTCGAGTGAATCGGAAACTCAAACATTAAAGGGGATTTTAAAAACTAATAGATCAAAATCGAAATCCAAGTCGAAATCCAATCATTCACTTTATAGACTAAAGTAGACGATTACGTAAAAAAAAGTCTCATTTGATCCTAGAATATTAAGACGCAAAGCCAACAAAATTTATATTTGATAAAATAAGTAATTAAATATATATTAATCCCCAACACTATAAAATAATGAATCAGTCATCAGTTTGGCATAGCATGGCCACTCCTCTTTTGACCCAGTGGTAGGGATGGTGATCAGGGGATATAGGCAAATATACAGAAATAACAAAGTTAGTGGAATGACCTGTTGTAGACAGTGTTCCGGCTCTTCTAGATGTCTTATATACTGGACATTCATAAACCTAAGTTAATATTATAACCATTACAGATAAGTCAGCATCCCAATCCTTCTTCTCTTCGCTTGGCAATAGCCACAAGTAGGGCACCTTATATTACAGTATTTTAGGTAAGCTTTCATTTAGACATCTATTTTCCTCATCCCATCGAGCACCGTCAAGGAAAAGACCATAGACATAACAACCGTCATCAGGAGGTTTGGAAAGATCGTATTCTTATGAAGAAGGAGGGATCACAATAAACTCAAATGAGAGGGTATCAATTGGAATTTGGTACTAAAATTGAATATTATAATTAAATTACTTTTCGAGCAAAGTTCTGGAGTGTGCCAGTCAAGAACGATTAAGTGAAAAAGAATCCAGATACCCAGAAGGTTGGTGGTGCCCCATTGTCAATCCATAATTACATGAAATGCAATCTATCAACAAAGTCATTAATCCACGATCCCAACGGTTTGAGAGATGGATAAGCCACCTTATGCCAAACATCTGGAACTTAATTATCAAAAACTTTGTTGAAAACTTATTCCAGATCTGCACTCATCACAACCAAACCATCGATAGCCTTGCCTAAATCAATAAGAGACTATCTAACAGCTTGCAATAATTTATTAAATCTAATCAATTCTTATTGTAAAACTGTGTTCATACTCTGATTGTATTGCACAGGATGTTTCCGAGCTGCTTCCTCCACATTAAATTGATTAGGCAATTTAGATAGGATTTGTTTGCATTTCTCTTTGATTAGATCTTCTGCAGAAGCACCAGCACCTCCAGTTGATCTAGGGAGCAATGACAAAATGGTTGATGTAATGAAATTAGTTTCAATTATTGCTGATGATATTTCTGCATTATCATGTAGTCCAAACACTTCAGTCTAATCATTCAAAGGTAGATTTTTTATGTATTCCTTGTAATCCTCTAATACTCCATTTGGTGGTACATAATAAGTACCACTCGGACTTAACTTATGTTTGTCTATCTATAATACATCTGTTGTGTAGAACTACTTCAGAAGTATAGCAATTAATCTTCTATCCTTTGGATCTGTGACTCTGCCTCCATAATTAGCTTCCGCAACCATGTAATTGAGAGCTTCCCATGGAATATCCTCGAAAGTGTCGAGGAAGTTTTTCAATTAGGATACAGATATGGCTAGATCTGCCGAAGTAAATTCATAAGGAATATTCCATCCCAGAGGTCCATACTTACGACGCTCTAAACAAACTGCATGGAAGAAGTTCAAACCGAAAAACAGTTTTTTCCATTCTACTGGCTTCTTACATAATTCAAAACTCTTGGCGTCTATTGATGAGAAGTTTCTCAACATATTATTCTTTAAACCTCTTGGTGGCTCATATGTCATTTTAATGCCTCTCATCAACAGAGTCACTGGAAATACATTTGAGGGCATCGAAGTCAACCAAATTCTAAAATCAGCATTAACTTCTTATACTGGTTTTGCACATATTTCCTGTTCGTGTATTCTTTCTAATTCAGGCATAAATGATGGTGCAAGATGACAATTTTACAATAACACCCATTTGCCTTCCTTAACAGCTCCCTTTATCGCATTAGTTGCTATTTCTCCTTAACCTTATCCCAAGGAGAGAGTGATGAAATTCTATCTAAATCCCAGACGATCAGCTAATGTTGATATTTCCAAACGAGGATCAGCACCTGGAGACAATATAAATATAAGAGGAGTGTAAGCATCTGCATCCTTATAGGCATACTCTAGATTGAATGGAGGAGGGTCCATAAATTATTTGCCCATTTCTGTTATGATGAGATTTTAAGTTGCATTTGCAAACTTATCAGGTCTAATAATACGCAAGACAATTAGTTTTTGAAAAGCAGTCAATTATGAATGCCAAGGTTCTGGTAATTACTACATTTGTGGTTCACTACTATCATACATTTCTTGCCAATCGGCTAAATTGTTAGAGAAGGACTCAGGAAATCCTTTGAAAAATGGTAACGTATCAGCAGCTTCTGTTACTAGACACCACATCTTTTTAGATATCCATTCTGGTTATGGTTATGGATATGTGGGATCTGTATATGTTCCTCCAACCATGGTGAAACGTATTTCTTGGGGAGTAATCTTACCCTCACTTTACATCACTTTCATAGTCATCAAAAATGAATATATCAATTTATCCTTCTCCAATAGAGATCTGCAAATACTCTCATATAAAGAGATCTAAAATTTATCTATGATATTTTTGCTTCTATTCTCCTTTCCTTAAATTGACTCTCGAATTGCTCTCTCAAATAGGATAATATAGAACTCCAAAGACCATTAATAGGTAGGCTCAATTAATGAAAGATCCAAAACAACGAAATACAAATTAGCTACTCTCCTGGCAACTTCTTTATAAAAGTTACGAATTTAATTAAATTATTCCCTATCCTACTCTTACTTCTTCAACTTATCCTAAATTGTGATTGATTCTGCTTTCGATCTCTACAGCGTATCAATCAAGACTTCATCATCCAATAGATTGCCTTTAGATTCCTGCAACAATTACAAAATGTTGTCTTCTGTCATCTTTTATTTATTCTTATTTTCAAAGAACTCTTTGATATTCCTTTACCTTTATTCATCCTTAGCTGGCTCTTCAATTTTAACTACGATATTTAGCATCTGATCCTCTAATCCTTCCTAGGTGACTTAGAAATTCAACATAGTAACTTTAACACAAATTTCAGGTGGATAATGAGGTCTAGCCAATTTAGTAGTCATGTAAAACTTAAAGTCTTTGGAATAGTCAATCATTTTATCTCCAAATTTCAATTTGTAGGCAGAACCTTATTTAATAATCTTTTATTAAAGAATCGATTCGAAAATAGTATCAATGGTTTCACCTACATTTTCTAACAGCACACTCTATCCAAACTGCAAAGCACTTTCCAAAGTCTTTGACAATACATTTGAAGATTATGTGGGTCTCACGATCACTAATTGTTATGCTTCCATGTGCTTAACCCAAGTATTAGCTTAAGTTTGAGGATCAATCATCAAAGGCCATCTAGTTGAATTTTTCAGAATAATAGCATTATCAATAGAGAATGAATCATTAGGTAACTTTTAAACATTAGTCCATTGTCCTATGGTTATTGGATCACACAATATCTTCTATAAGGAATACTCTGGATCGAATTCAATGTTTAACTTTTCTAGTAATGTCTACCATATTTTTATCGTGTCATCTCTATATGCAATTGGAAATGCTCCCAAATATGCCACAATTCCTGATGACAATATACAATCGCCAACAATTGTCTTAGAATCCACTCTATAATCAGCAGCCTTCTTTTTCCAACTCTCCTTCTCTCCTCCTAATTCAGTGATTAATTTTTCAGCTCTACTCAATTAAATCTTGCACTTGTTAACTTTGGCCTCCAAATCCTCTTTTTCCTGTTTTGCCTTATTATAATCCGCTTCTAATTTAGCCAACATATCTAGCACTTCCTATAATGCTTCTTGCTTTACTCTGAGAGTTTCTTCAGCTTCTTTTAATTTGGCTTCTGCTTCCAATAATTACTGTCTCTTGGGATCCACTACTAATAAAGCATCGTATGTCTCTACGACTGCACGAACCCATAAGCTGAGATTACCTGCAGCAACAGACGCATTAAACACCTTATCCTTCTAAAACAATGGATTTTGAGAAAATGCTTTTAATTTATTGATTTTTGCTTAAGGAATTTATCTGATAGAATCATCCCTGAAATCCTTAATTCTCTTGATCAACTTGTCATTCAACAGATTCTTTTTTGAGTACTCCCAGAAGTCTTATACCTTCTCCATAGAGCCTGGCTCTTTAGGTTTCCAAGGTACATTCTGATCTTCCTGGAAGATGTAACATAACCCTTCCATAACAATGGCAGCTGAGGGAGGAGGCTTAGGGAATGATTTCAATTGGACCATATCATTTTTATCAATCTTTTCCAATGCCTCAGCAGCTTAAGCCAAGATGGGCAACACTTTGTCTAGATCATTTTAGCAATCATTTCTTAAAGCATTGGCTGCATCTCTTTGTACATTACAATCCTTTTCTTCTTGCTAACAAATCTGTTTCCTTGCATCAGCTTCTTTCTATTTCTTTTACAAATTAATCAACATTATACTGTTATCCTTAGTAGCCTACTCCAATTTGGGTTACAAATCTTCCAATTCCTTTTACATTTTGCTAACTTCACTCTCTGTGATGATAATCTTATCTACACCTGCCTCATATCGAGAGATCATCTTGGACATGTTTTGATCTCTATCTGACTTCAGTCTCTTGAATGTGTTGAGCAATTCCAAATACGATGTTGGGGTCACATAATAATATCTTCTTAATTCATTGTAATATCTTTTGGTTAGATCAGATACCCTCATTTGCATATCAACTGCAATATCCACCAGACCTTGTCGCAATTTATTATCATTGATATTCATGTCCCTTGTGAACACAGCATTTGCAGTTGATCTAAGTGCTTCTTCAGGCCATGGCAAAAACCAATCGATTGTTGTACAATTAACCAGAGCAGGAAAAGTACGTAATCTCCTTCTAAATGCTTCTCCCACCGGAGACATGCAAATAACAAGATGCAAGTTCTTCTTGCATTATCTAACAAAGTAACCATATTTCTCATTTGGAGTTCCAGATGTGTAACTACTCATTTCTTCAATTATTTTGCTCTTCTCTTCAGTCGGAAACAAATTGGGCACTTCACCATTGTTCAAGATATTACAAATATCCTCAACCATCGATTCCTTAATAATCTAAGTGTCTGAGTACATGAACACTATTTCTTTTTGATCTATTCCTCCCATCTTCATTACTTTCTACAATTCTTCGATCCAATTTCTTGAGTCCACCTACAACGTCTCATTTTAGAATGCAATGAAAGAGGCCAATTAAGCCAAACTCTTTCTTCCAGAACCTCCTACACCAACCAACAAGGCATGACCAAATGTTGTATTAACCACACGTACTATCTTAAGCACATGCTAGATTGCATTCATAAATAACACTAGTTCCATTCTATTACTTGTGTATTGTGAATTGTATTCATTTAATTGTTCCTGACATACCTTCTTAAGTGTTTCTCGATCAGTCAATTCGCAATAGATATCAGTCATGGGTCTCTTTGTTCTATCATCGTCAGGATAGAGGGTGGGTACAAAGGAAGCCCATAGGAGTGGTTCTATTTGTACCAATTGTTTCCAATCCCTTTTGAAATGTTTCAGAATGGTTTCCTTTAGGATCTTATCAAAGGTTCCTTAATCATCTTCATTGATCAATCTATCCTAAAATACTCGTTGACATTCGTGTGCCCATAATTTTATGAAATCATTTTCATCTCTAAAGGATTTAACAATTCCTTTTGAAATTCCTTAGAATACTTTGCTAATGTCTCTGAGATTGTATATATAATGCGATTTGGCTGGAGTTGGCAAGAGCTCCTTACAGGTTTGTATTAATTAATAAATGTCAAGAGTGGCATTGACTGTTGAGTCCCTCATATTTGTAATTGATTTCATAAATGGATTTGTCTGTCTTGCGTAATACCATTCCAACACATTTTAAAATATTCTTTACAACGAATCTCCTTCGAAAGGCTCAACATACAACAACACATAATGCCTTAAATATCTCATACTAACAACATTTCTGCCTCCAGTTGGCGGTAACATACTAGCAATAAAGGTAATCCCTTAAAGGAATTTTGGTTCCTTGGTTTCCAAATCATACCAACCACCAGTATCCATCCATTGTCTTAACAATTCTATTGGGGGCTATGCGCCATACTTTTCTTTGGCTGGCATATTCAGATCATCAATAAATATCACAATATATTTCTTGCCCTCCTCAGGTCCGAAATACCCTTTTCTTCTTCTCGAATTCACCTTAGCTTCTATTGTTTTTTAAACTTAATTTACTAAGGTTTAACCTGAAAAAGCAGTTATCAAATTAGTGTATTCATTATTAAAATAATTTTTATTTATTTCACTTACAATGTTTGATGTCTTACCAGTACCGGTTGGTCCAGATACTAATAGGTGAATCTTGTTTCTGACACATAAATGCAAGAAATAATTATTTCTAATAGAATCACTTGTGGGAATAAGTAAATCATGATAATCGCATCCTTTTTAAATGACAAATGGTGGTTGTGTTTAAGTCCAACTTATGAAGTTATTTTTCGTTCTATCATACACCATATCAAATAGATTAGCTTTATCAGGCAATTTAGCATTGACTGTGATGGGTTAAAACTTGTATTATAATTACAGATTGAAAGTCTCGTGTACGTCTTCAGCAGAAATCATCTTAATCAAGAATTAGTTAAATTATTTTCTACACACTTCATCGATGGCTGCACCGAAACTCCAAACACAAGAAAATAGAATGGCCTTAGAAACTACATCCTTAATTTCATTATGATTAATTTATTTTTATTAAGCCTTCTCATCCATATCTGTCCATTCTTGTAGATAGGTTTGGAGTATTAGTAACATGTTTTTAACTAAAGTCATTTCGCTCTTGTAAATTGGGAATTTGCCATGCTTCCTCAACCATTCCTAACTACAATCAATAATGACTCTTAATAGATCATCCAAAAAATGATGCTCTATGAATTTTTCAGGGATTGTTTGAATGTAGGATTTGACTAATGCATACCATCCAATTTGTTGTGTTTCTAAAAAGACCATACCACATCTACTAACAGTGGCAGGTGATGCAACTGCAAGATCCTCAACTTCAAACATCATGGTCATCCAATTTGTCATCTTAATGATTTCACCAGAAGTCAAACACAATTTCTTATTATCGTCCAAAACAGTATTCATATTTTCAATCCAAACTGCATCTACAGGACCATCAAATACAACCCACTTCCTTTCTTCAACTTCAGCATCTTATGCGCACTATCTCATAATAATAGCAATGACTCCATCAGTCCATGATTTTGTGTCTGGATCCAACTTACCATACAATTAATCTGAAGTGATGGATTTTGGATTCAATTTGAGAACAGCCACGTTAACAAAGGGTTACACTTTATTTAATGATGACATAGCTTTAGCCAAACATTCCAATACCTTTGATTTACCTGCAAATGCTTATCCTACAATCATCAAACCATGTCGAACATTTATGGTATCAAATAATTGAATGCACTTTTCAATGAATCCCTTTTCTGCTTGAATATTGATCTCCTAAGCTGTATTTTTGAGTGCTGTTTCTAATGCTCCATAATCCTATTCAGGCAACTTGATTCCTGGAAATAGATCCGATGTAATTGAGTTGAATAAGGGCACATCATTTATTGTGAATTTTGGAATATTGACATCCATAAGTGCTCTTAAACAAATGATGTCTTCAATGTCATTCATGACTCTTTTCAGATTACCTGCAGCTGTTAAAATAGCCTTTAAAGCTCTCATACCAAAATCATAATGATCCTATGACGACAGTTATTCAGACGATAATCTTAGAGAAGCTACAATTTTACGTGCTAGATTATTGGCATCTTGAAATCCTACAGAGGCTAAATAGATTTCTGAAATCAACGCATAATCTGGAACCATCATAGCGCATGGTCTAAATAGGGCTTTTAAGTTATCTGGTAAATCAGATCTACCAGCATACCCTGGATTCATTGTGATATTGATAGCACAAGATGGAATCAATTTGATTATAGTGCCTTCAAACTCAAATTCTGGTCTTTTCTATCTAATAGCATCCTAAATTGTTAGCACCTATTAAGCAATAACTGAGAGCACTTCTAAATCAATACGATTAAATTCATCGAAACAACACCAAGCTCCTGAACTTGCCAATCCCTTAAAGAATTTACTCATTGCTAAATAGTTTAAACCATCTGAACAATTAAATACAACACATTAAACAGCCAAAGCCTTAGCCAAATCTTTTACAGTTTCTGTTTTTCCTGTTCCTGCTGGTCCTTCAGGTGCACCACCATACTGCAAATGGAATGCTCCCATCAAAGTACGATAGCATCTATCAGTTAAAGGTGTAATGACCAATCTCATACTATTACCCAAATATTCATATCCGTAGAGTAAATCAGCATTGATCATCTTGACATTGCATTTCATTACTTATTCAGTCCAATAATATCTCAATTATGCCATCCATTAGAAATTATTGATATCATTGCAACCAATTTTTACTAATTATCTAATTACATCTCTAGCATGCACATCTAACACAACAAGGGCACCTAGTGTTAATCTCTCTAAAGGTGATAAATCCTATCTAACTAAATCTACAATATCTCTAAGTTCATTAATCAATTGTTATAAAAATCCTGACAATCCTCCTTATTAATTATCTTTATCATTTATAGCTGTCTCACTGCCTCTAGTCCATCTAATCATATTTACTGCCAAAACTATTTAAGCTGGCCATTTCCTCACCCAAACAACTCTCTTTGTATCATTGTCCAGATGTGAGGCTTTCATTATCTTCTTCAAGGTGTCAATCATAACAGACTCAATTTCACATAACCACTTTTCCACATTGCCTTTCTTCTCACCTTCATTAACATTGATTCCTTTTGAAAATTGTACTTTTTCTTTTTCAGCTGAAATCATAGCCACCACTTCCTATCCATTTACAAATTCTAATAAATTGATGGCCTCAAAACATTTATTAATATGCTTTTGCACTGTTTCTGGATCTTTAGTTTATGCCAAGATTTCTAATAGTTCCTCATCTGATAAGAAATAAAATCTTGGAAATGAGTTACGTTTTGTCTCCAAATACTCACTTAAAGATTTCTAAATCTAATCCAAAGCTTTATTATCTTAATCGAAATCATTTTTCATCTTCTCATTGTCTATTCCATCCCAAAGATTTGGCTCTTTGCTAAATTATTCCATTACTGTTTTCCAATGAGCATCCACCTTCTAAAATTTTGAGGTTTCTAATGGCATTTTCTTCTTGATATCATCTGATGTAAAAATAGGTTCCAAGTACATCCATCCCCTTTAACATTTTATCCAACCATCAAGTGAATCCTAAATTAACACTATCTTTTATTCCAAAGCTTATGCTTTATGTAATACAGCTTTGATCTATGGCTATGCCTTTAACATCAATAGAATGTTGAATTAATCATCAAAACATTAAACTACTTCTTCTAATGATTTCAATACAAAGGTTCCTGTCTTTTTGTATGGAATCATTTCTACTTTTTGATCTTTAAGCTTCTCCTAAATTAAATTCAGATTTTTCTCTATTTGCCATTACTTTTCAGCCTTCCTTGATACTTCTTCTATATCGTTTCTAAAATTCATCAAGCCGTGAGATACCAAAGCATCCAATGATAAATCATCATTTGTTTCTTAATCAACAATCCCTACAATCTTCCAAATGTCTTTCCACAAATTCAGTTTAGTTTTCATAGCTTCTGTAGTCAACAATTCAATCAACCACAATTTCTCTTTAAACTCATCGATTTAACCTTTCAATTTTCGTGCCACCTCCACAGCAACGTCATCTTGTGCATCTGAGAAAGCCTTTATTAGTATATTGGCATTTCTTTAGTTGGTTCTTACTTTATTATCAATTTCAGCGAAATTAAGTTTCAAGAATGACCCTGTACACCAATCACTTCTATCATACTCGAATTCTATCGCATTAGTCCACAAATTAAAGTAAATAGTGAAATCCTTAATCAATTAATTTAAATCTTCATAGACTGATGGTTACTATTTGAATAACAATTCTCTCTCATTAAAAGATTCAACCTTTTTCAATGCATTTTAGAATCGATCATTTAGTGACACAACATCATTTGCAACATCTTTTACTCTTGAATAGTCATCAAACTTCTAAACAGTTATGAACAACTCAGTCAATTCCTTCAATTCTCCTTAGAATTTATCCTTCTCATTGTCCAAATTTTCCATAAACTTTTACTCCTGCAAATTAGCCTTCCGCTGACCTTCTATCACATGATTTTTGATTTCAGGAGGAAAACTATATAAGTTCCAAAACTCATATAGATTTTTATCTTCAAAATTATGACTCATATCTTCGAACATAGTCAGGTAATCGTAGATACAATCCACTTCTTGTTTCTTTTTTGCCAAATTTACTTCATGTTCTGCAATATAAGTTTTTAATTCGATTAATTCAGCCTCGTTTTTTGGTTGCTTAGTAATTCTATCACTCATGTCACTATATTCCTAACTTAAACGACTTATGTTGTCAGTCACAATATCTGAACACTGTTTCAAAATGGATGTGATAAATTCATTGGCCTTAGATATCAAATTCTCCTTTGCTATTCTAGTTCTTATTTAAAAAAATTGTTCATTCTTTTCATCTAAGCATAATCTTTGTATTTAAAATTTAGCATTAATAAAATCAGATAGTTTTTTTGATATTTCATCTTTGTCTAGTGATGTTATGATAGGTTTTTTGGACACATCTCCAAACAAACTTTTTAATACACTTGGAACTGACTTTTCTAATAGAAAGCTAAACTCTCTGAATTTCTATAGCATTTAATTTGGTTTCTAGTAACCTATTTCTAAGTATGCTTAGACTTTTTCCTTGGCCCACTTAATCCACATTTAATCCTTATCATTTTCAATTTCGTAAGCCCTCAATTTTCCCTTTATTTATTTTCTTTGATCAATGTCCACCAACGGAACCAAATCTTTTTCTAGTCTATTAAATGAATTCACTGATTCCAATAAGAGATCTAATGGTTTCAACAAACCCTATTAGATGGCTAAGTAATTAGGAGAAAAGTAAATTGCACTATTGAGATCCTCCTCAAATAAAGGAGTATCCTCTTACTTATTTTTTTTATCGTTCTTCTTGCTCTTTTTGAAACTGAGATTCACTTCGAGATTTAAAATCAATAAGGGATAATCGTTAATTCTCCACTGCTCTCCTTCCTTTGGAGTAGTAAACCTTTTAATAAAATCCACCCATGACTAACAAGTTTAGCGAACAACATTCTCTCTAATAAAATTGGTAAACATATAGTCGATTCGAATAAGCAACTTTTACAATTCACTCTCCAAATAATCCTCAGTTTCAGTCTAATAGAATCGATATTTCTCTCTTAGTTTATCTTAGATGTCTCCAACAATAGTACTCCGCCATTACACCTACAGTGTTTATCTTCCTTGGACATTATGTTATTTTTGTTAGCTTTCGAAATTGGACAAGGTCATAGGCAATGTTTAATGATTCAGCAATACATTCAAGAGTGGGAAATTTTAATACAATTGTGATCTGGCAGTTAAAGCATTCAAAGTGTTGACTACTACAGTAAATTTAGAATAGTGCAATTGAGAGACATTTTATCTAATTTAGACAAAACCCCAATTATCTTGAATTTTGACTTGCTTCATAGGTTGTTGCCCTAAAGATTCAAAACTCAAAATTTTAGTATCACTCCCAAATTATTTAGTTAATCCATAATACGGCTTTTTGGTTTATTCAAATCTATTCTTGATTCTCAATTGAAGCCATTTGATATTATTCTTATTCACTTCCATATCTTTAAGAATTGAACATTTTTTCATAAGCATGATATACTCTTTTTGAACTTACTTTACTAAGTCTTTTTTGAGCAACTCAAGATGTTGCATTTATTTTCTCTTGATTTCTGGATCTGTGATCATTTACTTTGTTTCATCCTTGAATGTTTATATCTATGGAAATCCAGGAGCGATCTTACTTGGATCTTCTTTCGTAAGGTATGGTAAATCTCTAAACAATGTATATTCGTCAATCTTTTTCTACATTTCAAGAGATAACGTAGATGTCATAGAATCAGGCAGAGAATCCACATATTTTAAGAATCTCAGTTCATCATTTGCATTCTTTTGTCTTTGTTTACACAGTTCAACTCTTTGTTCAAACTTTACAGGGTCTTCTGAATAAAATTATAATGATAATCTGCCAATCCTTTTGATTTTGTTTGATCTCAATATTTTAACTTCGAATTTACCATTCTCGAAACCGATCACTTCAACATCTGTCCAAATGTATTTGTCTGATTCATCAAACATTGGACATTTCGCATGTGGAGGATTACTCTATTTACAAATTTCTATCCATTCTTAAGGAGTTCTATCTTCATCCCAACAATCGTACTCCTTTAACCTTTTGTTAGTCATTCTGCCTCCATAAGAAAAGTTTTTATTTTTTGGAATCTCCTCTGGTTATGAATCATTGTCATCTAAATTATTGAATCACTTATTTACACTTCTGAAACTCTGTAAATTCCTCTCCAAGTGTACCTTTTACTTCTACATCAAAATTTATCCCCGAATTTATAAACTTGGGAACAAAATTTGATCGTTTGGAATTGAAATCGGGTTTCAAATCAAAATCAAACTTTAAACTTTGCGCTGGAGAGGCATATTGAATTTAGGAGTTATTTTTTGTTTACCCTTACAAATTAGGTATTTAACTCTTAATTCGCCTTGAGCGTACATACACCTATCAAATTAATTATCAAAATACCTGCTTTTTTGCTGCCACCTATGAATTAGTAAAAGAGTTATCCAATACGAATGAATTATCACGATCATTCAACAGATTCATTACAAATTTCCTTTAAACATAAATCACTCCTATTACCTTGGATCTTGAGTGTCAGTTTCCATTTTTATTCTTTCCTCTACCTCTCGATGTTCCTTCAGAGCTGACTCATAATCAAAAGATGGCTTGCTTATTTTTTAAATTGGACCTACCTTATTTTTTATAACATTTACCCAAAGTCCTTTTGCCCTTCGAATTCATTTCGATTTTTTAAATAAAAAAATTAACTCATAAACCCAATAAATTCTAAAATACATTCACATCATACTTTGGACCAATTAATAACCCTACTAAAGATGCGCTTTATCGTATTTGAGTATCAAAAACATTATATCAAGTAAGTTATTCTATCTGCTTAAATCCATAAATCCAATTAGTAAACTACCTATCTTTTTGATGATTAAAGTATTATAAAGAAAGTAATAAGGATTATGAATGGCTAACAATATTCTCAAAAATGATTAATATTAGTAACACTGAAAAATTTTGAATTTTATTAGCTCAAGTTAATGGTTCTCTAAACTCTGTATTATAATTATTCTACTTAATTTTTAAGAATAATTGAGAAATAATGATAAAAAACATATTTAATCTTAGCTTTACTTATAAAACAAATTGTTAAATCCTTGAATTAATTTAAGAGTTTAAATACTTAGATACACTTTAATCAACAATCAATATCAAATAATTAATCTGAAAAACAACAATTTTGATTGAAATTAGATATTCCCAATATAAGGCAAAAGATCAATTGAATCAAATATATAAAGGACGAATAATATGTATATTTTACAATTTTATCCTTATATTAAGATATACATATTATACAATCATTATTATGGCTTAGGACATTTACCATATCTTTTAATGTAATCGTTGTATTTTTTTTAACATTAAATTGCTGTCCATTAAAATGTATTCAATTTGTGATCTCTTTTCATGGCTTCCCAATCTTATTTGTATTTTTTAACAAGCCCTTCTATTGCCCATTCATCGTCAATATTCATTCTCACTTTATTTTTCTTCTTTTCTACTTCTTCTTATGGTAATTTTGCTGTTGCCTACCTCTGCAATTCTTTTATTTAATCAATAGAAATTTCTTCTGCTTCAATGTATTGTTATGGAGCTTGTTCCTTTTATTTTAATTCATTAGTTATTTTTTGATTAATCTAATAACCTGTATTCATCCCCAAATTATTTAAATTATGAGTAAATGAAATATTTTTGTTCCAACCTGGAATTTTATTTTACTCTCTCTAAGTCTTATTTATCTTTTTGTTCCTTGAAAATAGATGTTTATGAGATTTTTATGCTCGTTTGACAGTTTTTCTCCTAGCCATACAATAAATTAATTATAAAATATTAATAATTAAGTTTCTTATATTAAATATGTATGTTCTGAAAATAATGCATATATCAACTCTATTCTCAGAACTTATACTTTGGATGGTTTCTTTTAGGAATTAATCTTAATATATAACACTAATCATTGTGTTAATTCTGACTTAGTAGAATATCATGTTTATAATTCGATAGATTTGCTTTCTGAAGGCGATGAAAATTCTTTGGTAATTTAATTTAAATACAATCTGATTGTACCATTTTCATAATTAATCAACTCAGATTCAGAAAATAATCAAACGTATAATCTAATAAATTTAGAATTTAAATCAAATTCATCGAACAATACACATTTGCTATTCGATCTGTGAAAAGGAAATGATTTATTTATTTGAATGGAAGAATCAATCATTAAAAGGTAAATTGGAAATGAATAAAGTTATATCCTAAAATAGTCTTTCATGAATTACAATTGAATTATCAAATAGAAGAATAAACTTACAAAGATATATCAATCTTAATTCAGAAGTGAATACTTCTTTCTCCTACATCTAGTATTTTCATATCTTTTAATAATTTGTCAAGGTTATTGTCATGATATCGACTATTAGATATTGAAAGCTACCTTTAACGTTATGTACTTTTCAATTACCTTACTAATAATGAATAAACTAATTCCAAGCATTTAATTCAAATGATTTATTAAACCGTCCATTATTATGTTAAAGTAGAATAGAAAGTTAACACCTTTCTTTTTTAAATGATATTAAGGATTGTTTTATTATTTTTTAATATTTTATAGGTACAATTTCCAATCAAAATATTGGTAGATTATGAAACAATTACACATCAGCATATTAGCTGTTTTCATAAATTAAATTGGTATTCTTTAATACAATGGAATAGGTAAAATCAATGTGTAAGTAAGATTTTAACTGAAAAGTTGAGTGTCCTTTGATAATTTTAGCGGAAATAGAAAATATAATCTTTCATATATATTAAACACGATTGTGAGGAAAATTTAATTATATTTCTAGCAATTAGGAAGTATGTTCATTTTATCTTGATAAAATATGTATTATGAATAATATTGAAATGTTTTATCAATTTATTGGAATAGAAAGATTCCAAAATAAAACAAAAAAATCCTATTCAATTAATTTATACCATTTAATTTCCTAAATTACAAATTTCAACTAAAGGGATTTGAATTGAATTATCATATAATCTGCTGTTTAATCTTGTAAGCTAATTGCTAATCATTATGAAAAATTGAAGAATTAAAGTCTTCAAATTATTAGCGAAGTATTATTTTTCTTAAATAATTGATAGTTCAATTTTTTAACCATTTGTTAAATATAATGATTTAATATTAATCATAAATTATATTCAATTAATTCTTAATATGTTAGGTATAGATTAGTTACTCATGATTACATTCATGAATTTATTCTTCTTAACCAATCAAACTGAGATATATTAATTTGATGCGAATGATAACAATACGAATAGTAATGATTGAAATTTTAATTATTATTTTAGATTGGGTAATATAGAATGGTAGTTATTAATTCTCTTCTTGTGGAGGTTATCCCTTTTTATATTCAAGTGGTGCTAATATTACAAGATTATTTTTAAATCTCAAACCTCATTCTCAAGTTTAAGTAGATGCACAAATTATAATGTAATTATAATTATTTTATGTTAATAGTTTTGAGAGCGGTTGGAATAATTTTTACTTGGATTTAATTTAAAAAGACTATTAAATAGAGAATTCATCATAATACAGTTTCGCTTGTAACTTTTCATCAGTTTAATTTGTTTAAAATATTTCAATCAGTCTTTCACATAAAAGAAAAACCTTTTGGATAAGAATTAACCATTTCAATGCAGGATTGATAAAATTATCATTAAGTATCAAATGTGAGTATTATTGTGCAGAATGTTTTGATAAATATTATGGTTAGTGCGTATCATGGTAACTCCATTAATATTCATTTAATTAGAAAAACATTGAAACAAATTCTAATGGATGGTCTTATGCATTCGATAACCCATATTTTCTGGAATGCGCGGGATGCTAATTTTTACGATTTAATCTAATTAATTATTCTACAATACTACCTCCTCATTAAGATATAATAATAAGGTTTTATAAAATATGGAATCCTATCTATGTAGACTATATTTTTGGTTAAGAATATATAAAAAATGGTTATGGAATAATAGAGATATTGATAAAAAATCATCCTTAGATTCTTTTCTAACTGGAAATTAAAACTGCTACAATGGAACTAGTTGCATAAGAGATTTTGAAATATATTACAGTTAGCCAGCAATAATAATTCAGAATTTTATTTTAGGCTGTTTAGATTAAGTTGGGGATTAATGTTTGTTTTGCTAAGAAGGTTGGATTTAGGATGATTCACAATAGAATTGTCATCCAATTTGCGGGGATGGAATCATTTAAGGATAAGAACAATGTGATGATGCAAATCAGGTATCAAATAATGGGTGTTTTTAATGTAGATTTTCTTGCCCATTTTTTTGCTAATAATGTGAGTTTGGAAAATGTTTAAAGTGTTAATCAAATTACGAATTAATTGATAATAGATGTTAAGAAATAAAAAATATTAATGGTTTAGAACCATTGTATGAACTCGAATATTCAATTTTTAATTTATTAAACTATGGAAGTTATTATCACTTGTTATTAGAATATTAGCCTCCTGATCAATAGCTATAACCCATGCAAATTTCGAATTAACAAATATAAATATATGAGATATTTGAATATTATTTTAAGAGAAAAACAATAGAAAATTGCTTCTCTAGTTTATTTGGTCAATGTTTGGAATGCTAAACTTTTTATAAACCATCGTTAAATAAGAATTAGTGCATTATGAAATGTAATGATGGAATTGTTATGGAGAATGAAATTTGTGATGATTAAAATAATATTCAATTTGACGGTTGCTATAAGTGCTAATTAAGTTGCTAATTAGAATGTAATTATTGCATCCAAAAATAATGCTATTCTTGTATTGATGGTTGGTAGCTGATAGATTACAAATGTTATCAAATATGTGGGGATGGTTTATTAGCCATCTCTTCATTAGAGTAGTGTGATGATGGCAATTTTCAACCTTATGATGGATGTTATAATTGCAAATTCGAATGCAATTCATATTGTTTCTAATGTGATAGTTCAAATACTTGTTTATTATGCGTAGAAAACTTTGAATTGAATGAAAAAAATTAATGTAAGCCAATATGTGGAGATGGAATTATTATATAAGGATTAGAAGAGTGTGAAGACAAAAATGATATTCAATTTGATGGTTGTTATTAATGTCTCTATTAATGCACTTAAAATTGTATTAAATGTGTAAAAGGTGTGTGCTAGGAATGTGACATAGGATATATTTTAATTTAAATGGAATGTCAAAAAGTAGTAATCGATGATTTTGATGAAAATAATGAAATCGTTGTAATCAATGTCGAAAAATGTGGAGATGGAAATTAATCGACTTTAGAGGAATGTGATGATGGAAATTACGATAATGGTGATGGATGTTCCAGCTAATGCATTATAGAAGAAAATTGGAATTGTAATTAAGATTCACCTAATTCCTGTTTTTTATAAACTAAATATTCCTTAGAATATTAAAATCAAACATTTGAACATTAATTTGTTTTACTAAAGTTCTCTAATGAAGTGAAATAAGTTTCAAATATAAATTTTACTCAATCAATTTAACCAGAAATAATCAATCTAAATTAAAATCAATATCAAATAACAATTAACCCTGTAGTGGATATTAATTCAACTTAGTTTACTTTGGCTTTGTTCGAGTTTGATATTGTCATTTTTGAATAAATGTCATTAGAACCAAATTTTTCCATTTCCTTGCACTCATCTTTAGTTGATTATAACAATATGCCAGTTGGTCTCCCATCATAATCATTATTACTTAAAACACCTAAAATTATCAATTAAAATTAAATTAATATTGCAAATAAGTTCCAAAATCTTGGAAATATTTTAATTATAGGCTTAGGAGCTATTAGCATACTGATGTTATTGTTCAAATAACCATTGCAATGTTTTGAAATATTTGACCTTCTACAATTTTAATCATATTTGAAATTTGTAAATGTTAATTACCCTTTAAATCTATAGATTTATTTTCAATCTTCAGAAATTGTAACAGTTAGCCCGATTTTAATATACTTTAAGATAACAGATCGTCTTAATAATATAATTACTGAGAACTTCATTCCAAGTATAGGTAAGTTTTAAGAGTATCAAATAAATGCTGACTTACTTATAAATATTTAGAGTTAAATCTCTTAAATTGTCTTCATTGGTTTTTTGTACTTATTTTTATAAATTTATCCAAGAATCGTGAATAAGTATTTTTTTACATTCAGAAATATTTATTTTGTCCAGCAAGCGAATTCTTAATGGTTCAGTTGGCTAATAATTAAACTTTATTAAATTAATAAAAAAATTTTAAATTTAAGGACTATTTACTCTAAGAAAGGCTTTATACAACTCTTTTACGCAAACTGTTGGGATTTGCTTTTTAAAGTGTTTTTGTTTATGACCTCGAATACGGAAACAGGATATCGATCAACGATTTCATATAGTATTTGTTTCTTAGTTTTGGGTTTGACAATTATAATTTTATTGTTAAACATTAAAGGATTGAATGATAACTTGAAAGTTTCAAAAATAAGATTTGAATAACTTGAGGGCATAACTTTATTAAAAAAACTCTTATTTATCTTAATATTAATTGATCAATAAAGTAGCGATATAATTCAATGCACCATGTTAACGCTGTTGAGTTTAGGATACATTGGATTCTTATCAACAATCAAGTAAAATATAGAAGGGATAGAATTTATTGGAATAATTTGGATGGAGGTTCCAGTAATGCTCTTTACATTGACAAGTTTAATTTATTGCTCTGATTTTTTAAGTTTTATGAAATATAATGAGTAAATTCTCGTAGGCTTTGTTCAAATTGTAATCTTGGTACTTGGTTTATTGGGGCCTGTAATAAAACTAGGAATTAACGTCTACAAAGAAATCAAATAATTTTATCAGTAGAAAAAATATAATCCAGTGTTTGTTCTTAATATAGCCAATATATTGACAATAGCATAAGAAAATAGGAAGAATGTTTAATAGTAATAAAAAATATGATAATTCTATTTAATTGTTTTTGTTTAAACATTATGATATTTTAAATATGGGTGAAATACAAGTAATTTTTAGTTTTTTCTTGATATATCTAATATTTTTTGAAGTTTAAAATGTTAATTGATTATTGTAAATTATGAATATTTACTTTGCATCACTTAAATAACTGATTTAAGTAATCGAATGACTTCTCATTAAATTAAAAGGTAATGATTAACTTTTTATTTATGTTTACACAAGAATAGGTATATATATATAATTAAAATAATTTGATGTTGTTCTTGAGTAATTGAACCAAGCTTTATTGCAAATTATCTAAATGATGTGGCTATTATTTTCAATTTATTTCCAAAGATAAAGATAGGATATATTTTATTAAAATTGCTATTGAATAATTAAAATATTTTGGCATTAATAACTGGACAATCTGTATAAATGTAGAAATATCAGAATATAGATTATAAGAAATATATAAAGGATTGCTTATTGATGAGCAAAAGGAATTAGATAAATATTAACACTTTTACAATAAGAAAATCCCCACATAATTTTAAATTGAAATTATCTAGAAAGCTATAATAATGAAACACTAAGACATTCTGTTTCAAAGTTTGAACAAAATTTAATGACGATTTATTCATATAGTCATATAGTCATACAGTACTGTAAATTTAAATATCTCGAATCTTTGAAATTTTATCCCACGTGGAAGTAGTCTTTTGATTTAATCATCTCAAATAAATTTTACCAATCAACTCAGAAGTGGTCTTTGTTTGAAAATTTTTATTTTAATTCTTTATAACCATAGTAAAATTTGTCGGAAATTCAACCCTTGTTAACAGTAAACATGGAAAGGGGATTATAATGTTTAATTTAGAATAAAATTAAGTTGAATCATCTAGATTGATATCTGTTGATTGCATTCATAATAATGACCCAATTAAATATACTTCATTATAGGATGCCAATCTAAGATGGAAAAATAAAAATTAAGATAAATTTAGAGAATGTTAGTATTCAAGATTGCTTTAATGAGAAAGCATAATATCTTATCTTAAAGAAATAAGAGAATAAAATAATAAAATCTTAAGTGAATTGATTGAAAACTTGAATAGCGAATAATAATCAATTCAATAAGTATTATAAAATCAATTAGATCAAACAGATATATATGGGTTCAATTTAAAATAGATTGAAGAGGTCACCTTAATTTATGTAAATAAGATAAATTAAAAGTGTTGTCTGATTTATAATCTAATATAGAATAAGAAGATTAAATTAGATATAATTTAATCACTTATGATTTAAATGAATGGTTATTATGATAATTATGGAAAAGGGTAAATATTATTTTCTAATATTAACATTAGTGTATATTTTATTGAATAAGAAGGTAGATGTTTCAATCATGATTAATAGGATAAAAATAACAGCTGTATTCCATTTAAATTCACTTTTAATGATATCGTTATTGTAGAAGTTGATATTTAGAATAACTATATTAAATGGATTAAGTAATCAACAAATGAGTTATATGTAAATATTAAACTATATTTTAAGAAACTCAATATAAACACATCCTAAGATCTTTATTCATGTGTTAATCTACATTATTATTCTAAAGTAGAAATATTAAGTGAATTCAATGAATGAACAATTTTTAAATGCAAAAAATATTCATCTTAGATAGAATTTAATTTAACTTATTTCTATTATAAGGAACAGTATTGCCGCTTTTAATTTTCAATACAAAAATTAACAATAAAACAACCATTATTTTTTAATATTCAATTGATTTAATTTATAAACTTCTGCTGTGTTGTATTTATGAACAACATTATGGTTATTAAAATGAAATCTATTTTTTATTTAATAGGCTGTTAATGCATAGACTTCTTAAACTTTTTCAGCCAATCAGGCATAACTAACATTCATCAACTTTGAATATTTAATTTTTTTAATAAAAACAGACTATCCTTTGGGATTAAAAATAAGATCCTTATCGAAAACAAACTTAAAGCTTTATCACAAGTCAGAAAAACAAAATTTACTGAATAATTATTCATTAGATTCACATCATCGTTCCACATATTTTATATAATTCAATTATTAACAATGTCTAATAAGTAAGCGTATTACAGCTTTAGGGCTGAGACAAATTAAAAAACACAGGTAGATTGTTAGAAGAAATTTTGCAAGAAAACTATTATTGCTGTAGCTAAATTGTTTAATGATTATATTATCATAATTCTATAAAGGTTTTCTTATAATAACCTCCCTATATATTGGTCAATTTTGTTAAGGATTGTTTCATCCATTTTGAATAGTTGAAAGTCCTTATCATTTAAAATATAATATTCGTTTGGTTATTTTAAGCTTACATAATTTTTGAATTTTCAATTGGTATTACCTACTTTCTGATGGGTAATTCAAGGTTTTCAAATTACTCAGTTGAATTGATAAGTGAAGCATCATAGATGTGAAAATTTTCCATTAGCATCTTTCTTTTATTTTCTTCATGACTTGTTTAATCTTATACTTTAGGAAATGATTTCACCAATATTCCTATTTTAAAAGCTCACTTATGCTAATTTTAATTTTAGGGAAATTTAATTAAGAATTATATTTTTGATTATGTATAAATTATATTTGCGATTTAAGTTTTCAAATAGCCAAACTTTGAATCTTACAATAATATTTTATAAACTCAACTTTTGTTCATGGATAATTCATTTTATAACACATCAATAATTTTTCAAAGCCAATTATATTAACTATTTTCTTGATAATAAATTCGAATTATCTTTTCAACAAACCATTTTTAATTTTTACTCATTGATTAATAAAATCAAAAGTGACAATTCTAAGATTATTGAAAAAATGGATCCAACATCTGTTCACACTTCTGATAAGTTTGGATACTCCATAAACTACTCTTAAGATATTTCATTCAAACTATGTACAAAAAACACCAAATTTGTATCTCTGTGGAATATTGTTCAATAACTCTGGGTGTTTATCTAAAAGATATTATTACTATATCAACTGGGAATTCTTTTATACTTTAAGATGAAAATAAAAATCTTTAATCAGCAGATGCCTTTGATATTGAAAATATATGATTGTATAATTATTCAGCATTATTAATGACTAATCATTAATTTTCATGTTTTCAACTTTCATGCTTTTGGATTATACTCTTTAAAATAATTATTTTTGCATTTTCAATAAATATCCAATGATTAATTTGAACTCTTTTGCACTTCTTACAGAAACAATCCAAACCACTTACCAAACAATAAAATATAAACTATTTAAAGGTTTCCATTTTTATTCTCTAAATTCTCAAGGATTATTTCTGAATTATTGTATCTACTGTGTATTGAATTAAATTCAAATGAATTTGACTCAACTAATTATTAATTTGAAAATTTAGAAGGAATTTGTTGTCAGATGATATTAAAGATCAAATGGATCTACTTCATCTTATCTATTTATTTTTCTAATAAAAGGAATAATCAAATTCTAAATGTAGAGATATCTTTAAGATAGTTTAATTCATTATATTGCTGGGACATCCTTTAGAAGGACTTAGCTAATCATAATGAGAGTATAATCTTTTTGCTATGAGATCGATAGCAAGTAACAGCTATGCTATATAGAGAGATAAGTCTTTATACTTGCATTCTCAACAACAGACAAATCCATTTGAGATTTTGTATTCTAAAATGTGATGGATATAGCATTTAATTTAGGCTTAGGAGAAGAAATCCATCTTTTGTAATCACCTCATAAGTAATTGCGGAATTTTAAGCTAAAAGATTGATCAAATTTGGAAGTAGTGCTTCCATGATTGTTCATTAATTATTGAACTTTATTTTTATTTTTAATTGCTTTCACTAAATCATCTATTCCAATTCATTAAATCCTTTAAAATTTGATCGAACCCCAATGATATCCTTTATATTATGGCTTGAAGAGATTGTCTCAATTATTTATTAAGATTTCATACATTAGATATTGCAACCTATCTACCGTTTTCAAATCATCAGAGAACAATGATTCAAAAATTACTATTGCATCTAATTTCTCTTTAAAGTAAGTAATCTTTTATGAAGTTTCAAATTTTATTACATAATATTTTAATTTGAAAATATATATAAAAATTATTTGGTAATCAGATTTAATATGTAGTGAAAAGAGTCCAAATAAATTAAATTCACTTAGCGGTTCATCCCTCAAAGTAAGCCTTTTGCCGCTGCTAGAAGCAAAGAAGTATTGCACTATTGAATTTAAGAAAGGAATAGTTATCATGGCAATACTTGATTATAAAAAATTTAAACATTTTATCTGATAAAGAAAAATATTAAGCTGCTAGTAAAAGAGTTTAATTCAATAGTTTGATTACTTTAAAAAGACCCTTGTGCCTTAAAATTAGTTTCAAAATAGTATTATAAATTGTAATTACTGCAATGCTATCTAAAAGGTTAATCTATATTCATTAATAGTTTTGTGATGTCATTTCTCCAAAAAGAATTATATTTTTAAATAATTAATTTATATTGAAAATGTTTTACCCAAAAGTAATTGAAAAAGTAATTTTGTGCAGATCATAACACTCAAAAGTAGCCAATTTTGTAATCCTGTCATCTGAATTATCCCCAACTTAAAGATTTCTATGCCAATCTTGTTCTCAACAGTATTCTTCTTCGAATATAATGATGGTAAAATGCGGATAACTCTAATACTTATTGGATAACTACTAAAGAGAAAAGATAAAACAATTTGATTCTATATTCCTTTCTAATATCAGGTCTCTAGAACAATTTATTGATCAAATAAATTCAATCAAAACAAAGACGAATGAATAACTTGATAGTTTACTATCAATCTCTAATAAGGCTATATAGATGTTAATTGATGAAATAAGTTCTTATAGTTTTTATGAAGAATTGGAAAAGTTGATCTCGAATAAAATTTTTATAATTGATAGTATCAAAATAGTTGAAACAATGAAAACAATCCTTTTAGATTGGAACTTCAAAGTAAATTTAATTTGGGATTAATTCAAAAACTATTCTGAGTTCAGAGATAGTAAGAAACTCATAGAGATACTAAAGAAAAATATAAATGATGATGTAGAGTTAGTACAATCATAACCTATAATTAAAATAGAAAGCTACCTCGATTTCCCATCCAAAAATTAGTAGAAATGGAGAATGCAATCTCTCAATAGTTTTAAATGGGATTTTTCTTACAATCGATTTATATAAACCAAATACTAAATCAAATTTCCAAACAATAATAAAAATGAAATGCTATATATTTTGGATGGAGTAATACTGAGATGGTAATATATGATATATTTTTACTAGCCAAAATTCTCTACTCCACTAAGAGGAACTTTAACAATTGAACAATATAGAGTAGATTTAATATCTAAAGTGGATTGGAGATTATGGATAAAATAAATAAAGGATTGGGAGATGGGCAGCAACATGGAATGGAGAAGTTCTATAAGAAGTAGGAGGAATTTACAATAATGGAGAAAAATAAGGTTTTTGGAAAGAGCCAATATCAAATTATTGGGCTAAAGGTAGGATTCATTTTAATAAGTCTAGCCAAAGCTTACTAGATAGGAGAATATAAAAATAATGTAAAGAGGGGATTTTGGAAGTTTATATATAAAGATTAAGATATGTAAGATTTATTTATAAATAAAAAGCGGAGGAGGGGAATATAATGTATCTGGTGAGAAGAATGGAATATGGATAGAGTTAAGTGAGGGTTTTTTTAACGATTCTTAAGTAACTTATAAAGGGAAATATAAAAATGGGAAAAAAAATGATAAATGGGAAACATTTGTGGTTCACAATGGAAATACAAAAATGATGTATATAATCTAATTATTTAACCATAAATCCTTTAGTGGTGGGGGATAATATGACACCCTTGGAGTTAAATATGGACTATGGATTGATATCAGCAAAGAATTTTAAACTGATTAATATGTAACTTATCAAGGTTAATTTTAAAACGGCCGAAGAGTTGGTCAGTGGAAAATTTTCTATAGCAGATTTAATCCATCAGACGATAAGATGGATGAATTAATGTAAAAAGTATATTAAACTTAAAGTGGAGGTGGATTTTATGATTAAGGTGCTTAAGGACTTAAAGTTGGGTAATGGATTGATATTAGCAATGGATTTAACAATGATGCGTATGTAACCTATCATGGCTAATATATACTTGGCCAAAAGGTTGGTAGATGGGATATTTACTATAGGAGATCATTTGAAAAGCAAAATGAATTAATGTAAAATCTATATATTATTATGATCGGCAGCGGTGGTGGATTATATGATGAAAATGGAAGCGGCAATAAGATTAAAAACTGGATTGAACTTGCAGATGGCTTTAAAGATTTTTCGTAAGTGATTTATCAAGGGTAATACATAAATGGAAAAAAAGTTGGCAGATGGGAAATTAAATAAAGATATGATGATTTGGATTCTTTTGAGAAAATGTATATTTGATGTATTAAACTAATCTATTAGTGGAGGGGGCCAGTATGATGAAGCAAATCCTGGAATGAAGGTTGGTGATTGGATTGAAATTAGCGATGAATTCAATCGAACTTCATAAGTAATGTATTATGCTAAATACAAAAATGGTAAAAAAGTTGGGGAGTGTAAAATTATGTACAAGTATGATTTTTCAGATCTCCCTTCATTAATGTAAAATATACATACATTGATTAAATATGGTTTATTAGTGGAGGAGGATGTTACAATGAAAAAGGAAACAAAATAGGGTAATGGACAGATATTTTTGTTGGATTTAAAGATTAATTATAGATATTTTAATAAGGAGAATATAAAAATGGAAGAAAAATTGGAGCCTGGATTATTACATAGAAGTCAAACAACGATTCAAAGAATGAAGTGATGTAAAAATTATAGTTACATTTTAGTGGAGGTGGATCATACGATTAAGAAGGTGAAGGTAATAAAGTTGGCAAATGGATTGATATATGTGAAGGATATTCAACTTAGGCTTAAATAATTTATGATGGTGAGTATAAGAATGGTAAAAAAGCTGCTAGATGGAAGATTAAACATAGGAATTGTGCAGATGAGACATTTGTAGAGATGTAAGAATTTTTAATTTCAATCATATGTTTAAGTGGGGGTGGTGCTTATGATGAATATGGTATTAAGTTTGGTAACTGGACGGATATTAGTGATGAATTTAAAAATTCGTCTTAAATTATCTTGAATGGCCAATATGAAAATGGGAAAAAAAAAGGGATGTGGACAATTTTGTATTAAAGAAGGAGCAATACAAATTATTTAGAGATGTAAAAATTAATATCAATTTAATAGTGGAGGTGGTGTGTATGATTAAGAAAATTATGGTCTAAAGCATGGCAAATGGATATAACTTAGCGAAGGATTTTCTAATTCTTCCTAGTTAGTTCTTAAAGGTGAATATAAAAAGGGTCAAAAAGTTGGTTTATGGGAGAGTTGTTTTAGGGAGCGCATAGATAATCCATTTTAATTAATGTATATTGATATATTTGCTTATAATTTAAAATATAGTGGTTAAGGATGTTATGATTAAGGGAGTCAAAGCATTAAGAATGGAATTTGGACTGAACCTATTGGAGGATTTTGGGATGAAACGCAAATTATTAGTAAGGGCAAATATTCTTTCAGTAAAAAGATTGGAGTATGGGTGGAAAAGAAGAGAGCAAGGGGGAATGTGGGAAGTTTTTAAAATTTACGAGAAATAGTTTATGATGATTGAATATTATTTTTAATACATTATTTTATTTCCTACATCGGGGCATAAAATTTTATTGAAAATTTCATTAAGAAGAAAAATTTATGTGAAGTGAACATAATTCTCCCATATTGTTATTGTTTTAATTAAATTGTTATAAGTGCAACTGCCACTAATATTTGTAAAGCTAAAATTAAACTAAGTTGAATGCTGATTCATATTCTGAATAAGCATTTAAGATTACGGTGTGTAATGCATTAGAGTGGAATCAGATGGAGTGCTGCTGTATTATTTGTTCAAAATTAAAGTCAATATCGCGACATGTATATAAGATGTATCAAGAGATGGTTTATGCATTGATACTGCATCTGTTATACAACAGTAGCTGCATGAATACAGAATATTCAGCTTAAAATTCTAAACTTATTAGCAATGGAACAAACTGTATTGAAAAAGGTGAATGCTTTGCTTATGCTGAAAGCGAAGTTGCTTGCATAATTGAAGGAACTGATGGTAATTTTACCTTTAATAAGAATTCTTCAACATTTAGGTTAAGACAATCCTCTAATGATTCAATTTTAACTTCTACTCATTATGTATTTATGTATTTATGTATTTATGTAATTTTAATTTAAAATCTCGATAGGATTTAAAGTCCAACTCATCAACTCTATCAACTCAATCCAGCTAATAAATGTGCCGTAAATGGATCTAAATGTATATCCTTGGCTGGCTATTCATCATATGCAAAGTAGGAGGAAATTTTTGGATCAAGATATAATGTTGCTTGTAGTGAAGGTGGAACTGATTGTGTTTTTATGTTCAATCCAACTTCAGGTTCCACTACTAATGGAGTTTGCAATTTTATTTACTCAATGTTCATTGCCAATTCGGATTAACACGCTTTTTAATTTATGCCCTTAAACTGCAAATTAAATCTTGCGATTGGAACTACTCCTAGCTCATGTTTTGATCATACTTGTCAATCGGGCTGCTAAAGGGACAGCCAACTGTGTCACTATCGCAACTTTTGATGACAAGAAATATACTGTTTGTCAACCTAAAGGAAAAAAATTGTTGTAGGTGAACCAAGTTCCTTAACTAAGATACTTGCCATAAAATGAGTTAATTCATCAATAGGTGGAATGTTTAGACAAAGAAATGTATGTATTTGAAACAGATCCTCCTCAAACAATAATTCAACATCTGTTAATAAGAGTTCAGATAATAAATTTTTATATCCTTTGTATCCTGAAGTACAAAATGAATTGATAATTATCTATCTTATGTATGCTTCAATCCAAATAAAGCATTTTTATTAAGAATGCAAATCAGGTTCTTAAAATCTTCATAATGCAACCTGGCAATTGTCTTTGAATGTATTAATTCAAAAGTTGCGATAATATTAAATTACTTATAATCATTCCTATTAACTCATTTTTCACCCATAATAAAATAATTTATAGGTGATCGTTTATCAATACGAAATGTCAAATATAGAAATAAAGAGTTATCTATAATTTGTGAATCAAAATCATTGTTGTAAAACCAGTTCTATCAATTATTTTATATAGGATATCATTTAATTTTACTACTCTTCATCTATCCATTTGTAACATTTCTAATGACAAAATTACTTCCTGCAGTGCCATTAATAAACTGCCTTTGGTAGTTATTATAATATTCTCAAATTATATAATTTATATAAATTAAATAATATTTATCATTTAAATATAGCACCTTCTTTAGTATTGTATATATGATAAAAACATTAAAATATAATACAATATCAAGACAGTAAGATCTAACTATCATCAATAATATGAAAGTAGCTATACAAGTAGAGGGCTCCTGAAATATATTAATTTGTCTTAACCGAAAATTTTAATAGTTATTAATAAGAAGGCCTCCATAGATTATTGTTGATAATNTTAAGACAATCCTCTAATGATTCAATTTTAACTTCTACTCATTATGTATTTATGTATTTATGTATTTATGTAATTTTAATTTAAAATCTCGATAGGATTTAAAGTCCAACTCATCAACTCTATCAACTCAATCCAGCTAATAAATGTGCCGTAAATGGATCTAAATGTATATCCTTGGCTGGCTATTCATCATATGCAAAGTAGGAGGAAATTTTTGGATCAAGATATAATGTTGCTTGTAGTGAAGGTGGAACTGATTGTGTTTTTATGTTCAATCCAACTTCAGGTTCCACTACTAATGGAGTTTGCAATTTTATTTACTCAATGTTCATTGCCAATTCGGATTAACACGCTTTTTAATTTATGCCCTTAAACTGCAAATTAAATCTTGCGATTGGAACTACTCCTAGCTCATGTTTTGATCATACTTGTCAATCGGGCTGCTAAAGGGACAGCCAACTGTGTCACTATCGCAACTTTTGATGACAAGAAATATACTGTTTGTCAACCTAAAGGAAAAAAATTGTTGTAGGTGAACCAAGTTCCTTAACTAAGATACTTGCCATAAAATGAGTTAATTCATCAATAGGTGGAATGTTTAGACAAAGAAATGTATGTATTTGAAACAGATCCTCCTCAAACAATAATTCAACATCTGTTAATAAGAGTTCAGATAATAAATTTTTATATCCTTTGTATCCTGAAGTACAAAATGAATTGATAATTATCTATCTTATGTATGCTTCAATCCAAATAAAGCATTTTTATTAAGAATGCAAATCAGGTTCTTAAAATCTTCATAATGCAACCTGGCAATTGTCTTTGAATGTATTAATTCAAAAGTTGCGATAATATTAAATTACTTATAATCATTCCTATTAACTCATTTTTCACCCATAATAAAATAATTTATAGGTGATCGTTTATCAATACGAAATGTCAAATATAGAAATAAAGAGTTATCTATAATTTGTGAATCAAAATCATTGTTGTAAAACCAGTTCTATCAATTATTTTATATAGGATATCATTTAATTTTACTACTCTTCATCTATCCATTTGTAACATTTCTAATGACAAAATTACTTCCTGCAGTGCCATTAATAAACTGCCTTTGGTAGTTATTATAATATTCTCAAATTATATAATTTATATAAATTAAATAATATTTATCATTTAAATATAGCACCTTCTTTAGTATTGTATATATGATAAAAACATTAAAATATAATACAATATCAAGACAGTAAGATCTAACTATCATCAATAATATGAAAGTAGCTATACAAGTAGAGGGCTCCTGAAATATATTAATTTGTCTTAACCGAAAATTTTAATAGTTATTAATAAGAAGGCCTCCATAGATTATTGTTGATAACAGAAATATCATCATACCAATAATTGAGAATATTATCACTCATATATAACAATACTATTACAATTTGAATTTAATGGGACTTATATTTTCCAATCTTGGTCAGAATAGTAGCCATCTTATAGCATCAATCAATAATAGGGGACCAAAACTATAGGCTTCTCTAAGAGTGAATTTAAGATAAAATATCAAATTTAACGTAAATTTTGAATTGATAAATTGATAACCAGCCTAAATTTATCAAAAACATATTCGGATATCCCCAATACTATAATACAGCCATTTAAATTAGTATAATTATTTTAATTTCTAAGACTTTGTAATCAATAAAATAAAAGTAATCAGATAAAAAGAAGCAAGCATTCCGGCCAATAGAGCATAGACTTTGATGAAAAATAGCATAATTTCATTATAAGATTTGAGCTTTAGCTTTATTAATCGAATGAAACCTGCCTCCAACCAAGTTTCCTTAAAGTATTAAAAAAGGAATTAAATGAACCATACTCCTCTTAGGATGCCACGAAGGGAAAAATGTGAGAAGCTTGATCTTATATTTAAGTCATTATATAGATTAATTATTAATTATTATTTTTATGAAATATGAATGTTTTTACTAAGATCCACTACCAATTATAAATACATTGAATTTTCCTATGATATAATCATCATTTTATTGTAATTCCAATTTACTTCAATAATGTGGATTAATCAAAACTATTTGAAAATATATTTAGATACGCATCATTTTACTAATTAGAGGTATTTGACACAGTTAGGTAGAAGAATTTTAAGTTTAATTCCTCACAATATCTACTCATAAATAAGCTGTTGAAAGGTGATAAACTATTTTATTTTAATGAATTCATTTAAACTCAAGTGAATATTAACATTTAATTATTTTGGAAATATCCCATGTGCGCACTTTCGCTTAATTAATCCTATACTATATAGGGATTTATGATTTGCTCTTTTCCTGGTTAAATCTCCTCGCATTATATCAATAATCAGAGGATGACTTATGAACCAACCACTTATATCAATTGTAATTTTTCTCAAGGAACCTTTCTTTAATACTAAATTTCTTGAAGTATAGTGATAAGGATTGTTTTTATCTGCGCAATATTTCAGGAATAGATTATCAATAATATTATCGATAAAAATTTTTATGAATAAAGCCTTCATTGTTATGAAAATTTATAATCGCCCAGTTGGAAGATTGTGATTTTTACTACAATATTAAGTATAAAATCAATTAACTGTATTTGCAAAGTTAGTATTGGTTATTCGGCCGGAATGGATTAATTAGTGAATAATTATTGGAACCAAAAATGATGGATTATTGAATAGAAAGATTAACTTTAGATAAATAGTCGAGAACTTTCCGATAAAGATAGATTTAATCATCGTAATTTTCCTGAGCCATTTCAAACATTTTTTTCTCATGCTTTCTTTATAAACACTTTTTGTACATTTTATGGATACTTTAAAAAGTCTAATTTTAGAATAGTTATTATCTGCATTCTCAGCCTAAAAATATTGAAATCATTCTCCAAAATAAATTTTAATTAGGGATACTGCTTATAATATGTATAAATTAATGATATCTAAGATTACAGATATTTATGCCTTTAAAACTGATTCCATGCTTTTATTAAGAGATATCCTGTGTTAAGATAATACCTAAACCTCTGCAAATTATCAGTATGAATACAAAATGTGCTGATTTCTTGAAGAGTCTGTGTAATACTCTTTGTTCTAATCTGTAAGTTATGCTGAGCAAATAATGATTTCTATTCGCTAAGCATCAGCTGTTTTTATTGCATTAGTGCTCTTGCTCGAGCACTACACAACAATTTCAGATGGAACATGCTATGTATCTTGTATTCTAAGTATCTCCCTTATGTTATTTAAGTATTTGCCTAATCCATTAATCTTGGGTATCCTGTTTATATGCCAAAGGTAGTTATCATTCTTTATTGCGATACACATTAAAAAATATGCATAATATCCTTACTCACTAAGTGTAGGAGTGATTCTTTCGTATCAGTTTCTGACACAAACAACCGTGGTAGCGTGTTCGATGTGTACTGTTTGCATAGAAAGCATATGATGCCGTTTTGGAATGTCTTCGACAACTTAACCTTTGAACGATTTTAAAAGTCCACTCCTAAATGATCATCACTTTCAGCATTTTATAATAAAATGGACATCTGAAATACTCTGCATATAATAGAACTGTAACAAATTACCAATCTAAATGATCAAAGTGTGGAACCAATATTAAAATTTAAGTATTGTCAAATAATACAATGTTAAAATTGGGAAGAGGCAAAATATTTACCAAAAGAAAAAAAATTCAAATATGATATTATAATAAAGATGATCCATAAATTGATTTAGTTTTAGATAAGTTGAGGCATGGTGGCAAAAATAATATTTATAAAACCAACATGCCAAAGAACCTATGAACTTCTGGAGCATTAATAATAATAAAAATAATTTGATGTTGAATAATATGTCATTGTAGACGGCCCCTTTTTAACTCAAGGTCTACACTTGCTACACAGGAATGTTTGAATATTTCATTTTCGCTCTCAAGCAGAGCACAGAACGGACAGATCATGTACTCATCAAAAGCTAGTATAGCCATTCCTTAAGAATTCAGGATTTCATTCATTATTGTAAGGACTTGCTTGACTTCTTCGTCCAATTCGTCGCCTAGTCCAGTTTTAAGTATTCATAGTTAAGTTCATGAACAGTCTCAAGTAGCTATTAGTTCCATACTATTCCGCAAACTTAAATAAACCATCAGGGAATATCTTTCGAGGCAATAGAT